GTCTGGCGAGCGCACGCGCCCTATAGCAAAATCTCTCAAAAAAAAAAAAAAAAAAGATGGGAGAGAATGACAACTGGGCAAAGTGTCAAGGATGAGAAAATAAAAAGTAGAAATGAGGCTTTGTTATGGACCTTCACAATAAAACAATTGTGAACACAAAAGAGGTTCAAGGTTCAACGGGAACCCAGACCTAACAGGACATTCTCCTCCAGCTCCAATGAAAAGGGCCAACTCCTCTCCAGGTTTCTCTGACTGGCTGGAGAAGTGTGACCTGTTGACACGCAGGGCTTTTAGCCCCTCTCCAACTGATCAACTATACAGGTCCTGGAAGACGAAACTTACAAAGAAACCAAATTGAGGGACCAGCAGCTGGCGTAATGGCTATGTCACTGGACTCCCATATAGTTGGCCACAGTTCAAGTCCCAGGCCCAGTAGCTTAAACTCACACTGGGCATGCATGCATGCATGCCCAAGATCCCGAGAGGAGAATGCAGGAGAAAAGATTGCGGCGTGGTCATCCTCCCTGGGCGCTGATTTCTTGCAGCATGGCCATTCCCCTAGAGGGTGATTTCTCACTTTCTGTCTCTCTGCCTTTCTGGTGAGCACACATGCCCTATAACGAAAAAAATAAAAAGAAAAAGAAAAAAGTAAAAAACCAAATTGAGGCCAGCAGGTGGTGTACTGATTACAACGCTGGACTTCCACATGACCGACCACAGTTCAAGTCCTGGACCTGGTGGCTTGAAATTCATGCTGGATGCATGTACGCATATGGCAAAATCCCAGGAGGAGACTAGAGTTAAAGGGATTGTGATATGGCCACTTGCCTGCTGGTGGTTGATTTCTCACTTTCACTTTTACTGTCTTTCTGTCTTTCTCCTCTCTGGCAAGTACATGCATCCTATGGCAAAAATCTTTTATTCTTTTTAATATTTATTAAATTTTATTTATTTATTATTATTTAATTTGACTGGAGAGAGACAAAGGGCAGATGAGTGGCACAAATAAGCCCACCCACAGGAAAGAAAACAATTTTTGAAAAATTATCTAGTAACCAGCAGATGGCATAATGGTTACATCACTGGATTCCCACATAACCAACTGTGGTTTGAGTTCCAGACCTGGTGGCTTCAAACTCACAACATGCATGTGTGTGTGTGCTCAAAATCCAGAGAGAACAATGGAGAAGGGACAGCAGCATGGCCATCCCCCCAGGGGGGTGATTTCTCGTTTTCTGTTTCTCTCTGTCTCTCCGGCAAGCACATGTGCCCTACAGCAAAAATCTCTCGCTCAATACAAAGAAAAAAAGTATTTATCTAAATTTATTTATTATTATTATTTTAAAATTTGCTATAGGGCACGTACACTCAGTAGAGAGAGAGAGGATATGAGAAAGTAAGCTGCCATGTCCAGGACTGGAACCACTGTCGGCCATGTGAGAGTCTTACGCCTTAACCACCATGTCATTTGCTGGCCTCAAGAAAACTTTTTAACTTTTTTTTTTTTTGGAGAGGTTTTTGCTATAGGGCGCGTGCGCTCGCCAGACAGACAAAGAGAAACAGAGAGACAGAAAGCGAGAAATCACCCCCCAGGGGGGATGGGCACACCGCAATCCCTTCTCCTCCATTCTCCTCTCGGGATCTTGGGCACGCACACACATGCGCCTGGCGTAAGTTTTAAGCCACTGGGTCTGGGACGCGAACCGCAGTCGACTACGTGGGAGTCCAGCGACATAGCCATTACGCTAACTTCTGGTCCCAATAGGCACCGCTGGGGGGTGATTTCTCACTTTCTGTTTCTGTCTGCCTAGCGAGTGCACATGTCCTATAGCAAAAACCTCTCCAAAAAAAAAAAAAATTTTTTTTTAAAAAGAACCTCCAGGAGTCAGCAGGTAACAGAGTGGTTAAGACACTGGACTTCCACATGGATGAATGTAGTTAAGAGTTCTAGGGACCAGCAGTTAGCGTGATGGCTATGTCGCTGAACTCCCATGTAGTCGACTGCAATTCGAGTCCCAGACCCAGTGGCTTAAACTCACGCCAGGCATGTGTGTATGCGTGCCCAAGATCCCGAGAGGAGAATGGAGGAGAAGGAATTGTGGTGTGGCCATCGCCCGGAAGGTGATTTCTCGCTTTCTATCTGTCTCTCTGTCTCTCTCTGTCTGGCAAACACAGGTGCCCTGTAGCAAAATATAAAAAACCTCACCAAAAAAAAAAAAAAAAGAGGTCTAGACCTGGTGGCTTGAGGATCATGCTGGGCTCATGTGCATGTGTACCCAAAATCTTGGGAGGAGAATAGAAGAGAAGGGACCATGATGTGGCCATTCCCCATGGGGATGACTTCTCACTTTCCCTCCCACTGTCTCTCTTTGTGTCTCTGGCAAGCATACATGCCTTATGGCAAAAACCTAAAACAAACCTCCAAGAAGGATTTGGCAGAACAAACCTGAGGCTACTAGACCACTATAAAGAGTGGCTGTATCAATACCTGAAATTTTTGGCAGTCAAACCCCAGGAAATGTCAGCTAGAGAACAGAGCAGAACCTGGGACACGTGGTGCCAAGTGTCAGCAATCAGGACATTCAGTGAGCGAGTGAATGCCCCAAGTATACAGAATCTGCTGAGCAAACTGTAAAAGCTCTGAGCCCTAGCCCCTACCCACAAGGCTATGGAGCAGCAGGTGTTGGGACTACTCAGCAAGAGAGGATAATGCACAGCCCTGGTACCCACAGCACCTACTTTGAGAACCTAAGAAGGAAAGGAGCTGGGCATGGTGGTGCCTGCCCTATGGCAAAAACCAATGGAGATTGGAGAATGTGGCATCAAGTCCATCTCTCTCTGGGGCTAGCAGGTGGCATGGTGGTTAAGGGTGCTGGACTCCCATATGGCTGACCATGGTTTGAGTCCTGGAACTAGTGGCTTACTTTCTTGCTTTCCTTCTCTCTGGTCAAATTAGAATAAATAAATAAAGTTAAATAAAGTAATTCTTATAAATTTTTTTAATAATTATTTTATTTTTATTTATTGATTCATTTATTTTTTTAATTTGACCAGAGAGAGACAGAGGTTGAAAATGAGAGAGAGGAAGTGAGAAAGCAAGCCACCAGATTCAGGACTTGAACCCTGGTTGGCCATGTGGGAATGTCCAGCGCCTTAATCACCACGCCACCTGCTGGTCCCCAAATAAAGTAATTCTTAAAAAAGAAAAAAGTATGAAAGGAAAAGGTTCCTGACTTGGCTGGGAACAGGAGATGAACCAAACTTGACCAAGGACACTGGAGTGGGTATGAAGGCCTGTTGAAAGCAGCACTGATGGCAGCCCCCAGTGATCCTTATCTCCTGACAGTCTTACTATGGTTAAACTTCTTTGCTTGACTGTATGCTGAATGGACTGACTGACTGTAAGATTAAAACAGGGTAACAATGGAATGTCACTTTTGAGATTAGGAATCCTGGACTTCCATATGGGGGCTCTCCTACTCAGCTGTTCAAAGAGAAGTAGGCTTCCATATTATATATAAGGCACACTACAGAAAGGCTACCATGACAAAAACTGGGAGAGGCCTCAGGCCAACAGCCAGCAAAGAACTAATGCTCACAGTTGAATAAGCCACAAGAAACTAAATTTTGCAAATGATCATGAGTGAGCTTATAAGTGGGTTCTTCCCAAGACAGGCCTTCAAGAAGAACATTCTCTGGCTGACAGCTTACTTGAGAATTCATAAGAGACTGAGCCAAATACACCCACAAAGTTGTGACAGATTCCTGATGTGTACTGAAACTAGAAGATGGTAAATTTTTGTTTCCAGCCACTAAGCTTTGGAGTAATTTGTCATGTAACTATAGATAACCAAACATGGACTCACCCACTGTGGCCACAAGCGCAAAGTTCTCCAGCATCACATCTCGGTACAGGAATCTCTGTGCCTCCTTGAGGAGTTCCCACTCCTCCTGGGAGAAGTACACGAACACATCCTCGAAGGTTACACAGTCCTGGCATGATGGTGACAGTTGAACTCACGTGCAGCATCTCTCCCCAGGACACACCCAACTTCAGTCTGTCCACTAATATACCCAGCCCCAGTCTCTGTCCTCCCCAGTCTCCCACTTCAGAGGAGATACCAGGTCTTGGCACCACTAGGGCCTGCTCTCTCCTCATGTTCATCTGTTCAGCCTAGTGCCGAACCAGGCATGTGTGCTGACACATACTGCCTGAACTCTGAGTCTGATATGAAGGGACCCAAACACTTCTGTCAACCATTTGTCCTGTTGTCATCCAGACTGTGACTCCCAGACACAGCCAAACTTCAGTTCAGTCATCTTCTGTAAGCAGCCAATATTAGGGCCTTAAGGTTGTCATTTCGCACTCCTCCCAATGTGCACGTCTCTCTTAGGCTACACTGTCCTCTCATGTGGGACCCCCAGCACCTCTGATAATCTCCTATCCCACACCATATGCACCTACATGGAGTTCCCTATTTCCTACCTACACAGGGTCAGGGAAATGCTCACCTTTCATTATATCTCCCACTACTGCTACCCAGGTGCCTAAGCAACAGACCCAGTTCTCAGTCCCTGGTTTTACTCATTGCATAGCTACCATAACTGAAGGATACTCTCATAGCTCCACCCCACTCCACATATGGGCCCACCACTTCTGAACTTCAACAGAACCACTTCCCGGAGCTCTAGGACTTCTTAAACTAAACATGGTCAAAGCCTAACTCTAAGAATTACTAAGAATTACTCCTGCCCCCTATTTCTCCATCTCAGTTAATAACACTTCTTGTCATTACACCAGGCAAAGTAAATAGAACAAATCCTGGGTCTTCCATGAGTCTTTTCTTTCATCCACCCTTCACACAGGGAACCAAGTCACCTTCTGGCTCCATAGTATAGTGGCTGATGCACTACTCAAGAGAAGTCAGATCCCTCATGGCCACTGCAGTTTGAATTTCTGTCCTGGACAGCCTAAAGCATGCCAGGCATGTGCTCAGTGCTCAACATCTCAAATGCTGAAGGAAAGGGATTGCAGCATGACCAGACCTATGGAAGGTGTGCCTCTCTCCTTCTGTTTCACATGCTCACACACTCTATTGTGGATTTTTAAAACAGAAGAAAGAAAACTGAGTCACCCTACTTTAAAAACATTAAAAATTGCATCAGCTTTTCTCACCTCCACAGTCACACTGCCGACCCAGACATCATCACCATGATAGTAGGCTGCTCCCTCATGCCCACCTTCTGTTCTCAGCCTGAGAGCCAGAGGGAGCCTGTTAAGATCTGAGTCAGATTATCTCCTTCCTCTGCTCCAAACCCTCCTTGGATTTCACCACACTCTGAAGAGGCCCAGCTCCTCAGACTGCCTTCCTACCCAACTCCTGCCCCTCTGTGTTTCCAAAAGATATAAAGACCTCACAGAACATTCAGCTCAACCACCTCCAAGCACTTAAACATGCCTGTCTGGCGGCCTAAGGTACTCTTCCAGTCCTCAACCCACCATATGCCAGAAATGGAAACTTTTCCATCTCATCTAACTCCTAGACTGGATTATGGATGCTCAGCTACAAATGATCCTCCTTCAGGGTCCCCAAACTCTAATGCAGAGAAAGGAACAAATGAAGGGTTCCAGGGTATCATGACTCATCAGAAACAAACCTACACATTCTCCAACCTCACTGCAAGCCCCTGACTTGCCCACCAACACACACCAGCGCTCCTGCGGTAGCATCACCAACTCCCTTCATGCCCTCCTCCCTCCCTACTCTGCAGTCAGAGGGAGGCTGTTCAGACCCGAGTCAGAAGCTCTCCTTTGTACCAAGCCCTCCACGGCGTCCACCACCTCAGAAAAGAGGCCCAGTTCTTCAGGCCACCATTCCAGGTCTGACCCGAGACCCGCCGCTCTCTGTTCTCGCCAGACATAACAGACTGGTGGTTCCGGACGTCTTCCAGCTCTGCCTTCTCCAAGTATTCTAAGCTGGCTCTAGTGCCATGGGAACCCTCCACGCCTCCTCTAACGCTCGGAATGGAAAGCCTCCACGGCCTTTACACTCGAGGAGGGGAAGCGAATGGAACATAGCCCCTACATGCGGGTCTGTGGGGGCCTGCGGGACCTCCACTCACCTGAGCCTGGACCAACTGCGGCGCCGTCGCCATGATCTCCTGTCGCCCACACCTCCGCCGGGCGAGGCGACCTCGGCTGACTGTCGCACGCCGGGCCTGTTTCCCCGCGTAAAAACTCGCCCAAAGCTCAAGGCGCCGCGGCCGCGGGACAGAGGGCGGTGTGGGGAGCTCGGTGAGCGCGCGCCAGGGCCGCTCGGCGCCAGCCGCCCTTCTCCTCGGGCGCGGGGCGACGGGGGCGCGAGCCCGCCGCCCTCACAGTGGTCGCCCGGACCGAAGAGTCCCGCGAGAAGCACGGAGGGCCCAGGACTCGGTTCCTTGCTGACCGGCGAGGACAGATCAGGCACAGGCTAAAGACGTCACGGCCGCGGCGCCGGAAGTTCAGCCCCGCAGGCCACGCCCCCTCCGGCCGGCAGGGCCCCGCGGCGTCTGCGCCGGCTCAGGCCTGGGGCGCTCCGGTTCGCGAAGAGCAGAGGGGAGTTCCGGGGTGCGCGAGCTCCGCCCAGAGGCCGTACCTCCGGCAGGCTGACCACGGGCGAGGGCGTCAGCTCTGGGCCCAGACCCTGCGGTGACCCGGGGCCGCCTGAAGCTGGCAGGGGGGTGCTGTCACTCATAGAGGAGCTAAACAAACTTTGGGAAAAATGTTTTGTTATTAGAGAGAACTTTTCGCTATAGGGCGCGTTAGCTTGCCAGAGAAGAGACTAAGGGACCAGCAGTTGGCGTAATGGCTATGTCGCAAGACTCCTATTTAGTGGTTCGGACCCCGTGACTTATACTCACGCCTGGCGTGCGTACGTGCGTGCGTGCCCAAGATCCCCGAGGGAGAATGGAGGAGAAGGGATTGCAGCGTGGCCGTTCCCCCGGGGTATGATTTCTCGCTTTCTCTCTGTCTTTCTGGCGACTGCACGCGCCTGTAGCAAAAACTCTCAAAAAAAAAAAAAAGAAAGAAAGAGAGAAGGCATCTCTCCCAGGGGTGATGACCGCGTGCAATCCCTTCTCCGACTCTCCTCGCAGGATTTTGGGCACCATTGATCTGTTTCAAGTGCTGGGTCCAGGACTCAAACTGCAGTTGACCACGTCACAGTCCAGAGAGGTAACCTTTATGCCATCTGCTGGTTCCTGCTTTTTATTTTTAAAGAGAGATTTTTGCGGGACCAGCAGTTAGCGTAATGGCTATGTCGCTGGACT